GGCATGACAAGACCATATCAAGTGGAAAAAAGTGGGCCCTTTTGTCAAAAAATGGAGTTTTGAGGATAGTTGACTTTTGGCAATTTTGGAAAAATGCCCAACTTCAACAATGTATAACTTCTTCAATTTTTAACTTTTGGAGGTGTTCTTGGACTTTTTAGAAACATTGAGATGTCCTCTAATCAACCCTTTTGGTCTCATCTCATTTTGATATTCCATGCTCAAGTTATAAGCTTTGGAAAAAAGGTGATTTTGTTGACTTTCAAAAATGACATATAATGTCCAAATTTGTAACTTCTTGTGAGAGCATTTCTTGATCTTGGGGTGTGAAGGTGGATTGTAGGAAATTGCATCCTCTTAAAAATGAGCTTTGTATGAGTCATTTCTCATAAAGTATGAGAAAGTTATGTTTGGTCAAAGTTGAGTTGACTTTTCCTACAAAACCCTAATTTAGCAACTTTTGAATCTTGATGAATCTTGAGCAATCCTTGATGAATCATGATCAACCCTTGATCAAATGATGAATTATCCTTCAAACTGAGAATGTTTACAAAAAATATTGAGGTTTGACTATTTGTAGGTCACAGTTGACTTTTGCCCTAGCACATTCGATTTTTGGACCTCTTGAGCAATTGACTGACCAAACTTCCTCTGTAAGGCTTGAAATTTGACATGGATGAACTTAAGAACATATTAAGACATTGGGGAGCACTTGAGGTCATTTGGATGGGAGGACCTTGATGCAACACAAAACCCTAATTTTGAATTGACTGCCTTAGGAGGTGATTTGACTGTCCAACTCTTGAGCAATCTTGAACAACTTGGAGATCACTCTTGACATGTCTTGAGAAATATGGGAGGGCAAATTTTGGGGTACAACACATCTCAAAAGGGTCGACGCCCAACGGGGTCTTACCAATTGGAAAGATTTTGCTCCAGAATAGTGTAAGATGTGGCAGAGGCGTCACCGACATGTCTTGCAATTCTCAGTTTTCCTCAACCATGGTAATATGCGACACACGGATCAATATTTAGCTTGGTACAGATCGGTTAGTACCCCAGAAATGCACGTGTCTCATCCAAGATATTTGGTTGACCCACGAACACAATGAGCACAACCCTCATTTCCCCAACAACAAACCCAACACACATCAACCTCCCACCAACCTCCCCGACAAAACAGAACCACAAACACCCAACCACAATCACCACCACAATACGATTACACCCACATGCCCCACAACCAACCACAATCACCACCTCAATACCAATACCCCCATATACCCCACACCTAACCACAATTTCAATCACAATACTAATACACCCGCATGCCCCACACATAATTTTCGTGATCCTATATCGTTTACGTAACGTCTCGCATTTAAAATAAAAAACGCGAAAAATTGCCTCCGCATTGCACTAAGGCGCCATCTCACTTGGCTTATAGCACAAATTTAACAACTAGGCGCCAAGTGAGATGACGCCTCCCCCTTTAAAATAAGGTGTAGGCGTCAATTGAGATGACTCATCTCTTGTGGGATTTTCTAAAACATAGTTATTTGCGTAATTTTCTCCGAAACATGATTATTTATAACAAAAAAATTTCAATACCTAATTATTACCAAAAAAAAAAAAAATTCACACTCATGAACATTCCGTTTTTATTCCCAACAAATACTTTTCTCATATTTCATTTCATTTAATATGTTAGCAGTGATATAATAAAAACAACAATGAGTATGTTAGCACTGATATAATAAAAACAATAATGTCCTCACTTCTAAAAATGTATGATATTTGTTAATTCCATTTTAATTTTTTATTTCTACCCTATTTTTGATTTGTAATTAATATGAATATATTTATAGTAATTTAATTATGCATTTTACAGATAGGAAGTTGTGAGATGTTTTGTCTTCTCCATAGCCCGTATGTATTAATTGGGTGAAAATTGTTTAGAATAAATAGATAGGTAAAGATGAGATAAGAGTGTTAAATGTCAATTGCATAAATTGAATTTTTTTTTTTTTTCTATTTTGAATAAAGAATTTATTTGACGGGATAAAATCAATATACTTGAAAATTGTTACATGTTTATGGTTGTACACAAATACACGGTTATTATCCATTAAAATGAAAGGAAATAGATCTATTATCCATTACCACTTTCTTTTTAAGAGACACTTTCATGTAGCAACTACTTTTATTTCGTGCGTTCGTATAAATATAATTATAAAAAAATATAGTATAAATGATATTTTTATTTTAAATAAATTGATAAATTTGTTCCATTCAAATTAATTTATATATAATAATTTTTTTTAAATAGATAATAAATCGGTATTTATAATTATTTTAATATATAAAAATATTTGAATTAATAATAATAATAATATATATTATTATTTTTATTATTAATTCAAATATTTTTATATATTGAAATAATTATAAACACCGATTATTATTTAATATTTATGTTATTTAATAATTATTTCAATATATAAAAATATTTGAATTAATAATAATAATAATAATAATAATATATATATAATCATTAATTTTTAGTTATTATTTAATATTTTATTCAGTAACTTCATGTTTCCGTAATTTTATATTTATCTTATTATTCAATATTTTGATCAATAAATTTATTTTTTCGTTAATATTTAATATTTTAATGAGTAACTTTATATTTCAATTATTATTCAATATTTTGATCAGTAATTTAATATTTTCTTTAATATTCAATATTTTGATCAGTAAGTTCATGTTTCCGTTAATATTAAATATTTTTTTAATAACTTCATATTCATGTTAATATTCAATAGTTTGATCAATAATATTCAATAGTTTGATTAATAACTTCATGTTTACTTTAATATTAAATATTTTGATCATTAACTTCATATTCCGATTATTATTAAAAATGTTGATGAGTAATTTCATGTTCCCGTTATTATTCAATATTTTGATTAGTAAATTCACGTTTCCGTTAATATTTAATAGTTTGATTAATAACTTCACATTCTCGTAATTTTCAATATTTTCATTTATAATTTCATGTTCTCGTTAATATTTAATAGTTTGATCAATAATTTCATGTTCCCGTTAATATTTAATATTTTAATCAGTAACTTAATGTTTCCGTTAATATTTAACACTTTGAATAATAACTTCATATTCTTATTATTATTTAATATTTTGATCAGTAACTTCATGTCCATGTTATAATTTAATATTTTGATCAGTACTTCATATTCTCATTATTATTTAATATAAATTTTTATAATTTTTAACTTTAAGTTCTCTCTTATTATTAACATATGTAGTTATTTATTTTATTTAATGATCTTTAAAAAATTCATTAATATATATATATATATATATATATATATATATATATATATATATATTTTATATTTCAAATATATATATATATATATATATATATATTTTATATTTCAAATATATATATATATATATATATATATATATATATATATATATATATATATATATATATATATATATATATATATATATATATATATATATATATATATATATATATATATATATATATATATATATATATATATATATATATATATATATATATATATATATATATATTTTTTTTATATTTTATATTTCAAATAATTTAGTAGTATAATTCATTAATTATTTTTAATTAAAATAGTTTATTATTTTTAAAAGAGATAATAAATTTATTTCTATAATTTTTTTCGTATATAAAAATATTTAAACTAACAATATAATTATTCTTTTTTATAAATATTTTTATTTTAGAATTTTTTATATAAAATATTTAATGCAATAAGTCAACTCATACCCCTAATAATAAAATCTAAATCTAATAAACAAATTTAAAATTTAAAACCTTAAGACTAATATAATCACTACTTCTTAACAACTAAAATTTACTTATGAACATAGTTTATGTCAATTACAATTAAATGTTGTTGTAATTACAAAATAATACCGAGTATGAGGTTGAAATAATAAAGTTGTATGAGAAATATTTACGCTATCCATTCAAATTTATCTTACTAAAAATCGTCATCTGCCGAAGTACGCTATGAATTATAATCAATTCAAAATTATTAGAATAAAAAGTAATGGAAAGATTTGAATTTAATTAATTAAAATATTTAAAATTGATAACATAGAATCAAATCATTAATATAAAAATATTTTTATTTTTATTAATAAATGAAAATTAAATAAAAATAAAAACATTTCAATAAATTAATATAAATACCATATGCATGTATCGTGTAAATATCTATTGCACCAACCATTAGTAGAGTCATATTATGATGGGAAAGATCATAGCCACTCTCATCATATATTTTTCATTTTAAAATTTATATGCTGAAACGTTAGCAGTTAGATAGGATAGAAATTAGGATACTCCTTCCGTTAAATTTTATGACTTGATATTACAATATGAAGTTAACTAACAATAACATGCAATGTAGAGTAGTTCTAATTTAGCATAAAAAATGAAAGAATAGCGTGTAGGATAATCAGGGTAGCATGTAGGATAATCAGGGTAGCATGTAGATTCAATGAAATAGTTACTACTTATAAAATTATAAAAGAAAAAATTTTTTTTTAACAAACCTCACCAGAAAAGAAAATTTAATTATAATACACTATTTTTTATATCTCAATTATGTGATTGAAATATACAAAAATATAATCATAAAAATCATCCTATGCAAAAGATCAATGACCAAGTAAAAATAATAAAAAAAGACTAATCTTATTGATATATTACTAATGTTATTTTATCATTTCATGAAGTTTGACAATATAATATCCATTTATAATATTTGCCATCAGTATAAATTGAGCTTCAAAATTGTCAAATATTCACACTTTCATCACATTCATTCATCTCAAAAATTAGCAATGGTCTTTCTTCTATCTTAACATGTGCCACTATCTATGTTTTTCTTCGTTCATTCTTTGCAATGATCACAAAGTCAAACTATAACCTTCCACCAGGACCTTCCCCTCTTCCCATCATAGAGAACCTCCTTGAATTAGGACACAAACCACACAAATCATTGGCAAAACTTGTTGAGATTCATGGCCCAATAATGAGTCTCAAGTTTGGCCAAATAACCACTATTATTGTATCCTCAACAGACATGGAAAAAGAGGTGCTTCTTACCAATTACCAGTTCTTGTCAAACAGAACCATTCCATAATCCGTGTCGGTTCTCGACCATGAGCACTATAATACTGCCTTCATACCAGTTTCACCTCTTTGGAAGGAGTTAAGAAAAATATGCAAACACAAAATTGTTTTCTCACAAGACTTTTGATGCTAGCCAATGTCTAACATAACATGGGCGTGGTAGACCCAGTCTGGACAAAAAGAAACTGGAATTCATTAGGCATTCAGGTCTACACCGTCCAAACTGCTGCATACGATTGGGTTGTTCTGTTTGGGGGAATTGCTGTTACAATCTTGTCATACCTTGCAATAGCAGTTACAAGAACTTTGGTTGCCAAAGCAACAAAGAGAAATTGACACTATTATTTATCATAACTAACTACTAAGAAATAGATTGAAATCATTAGAAGAAGATATTAACTAACAATCAAGACCTGAGTTCATGCTTTAAATATGATTTTCCGAGTTAAACGTTTTTTACTTTAATTATATCAATTTTAATAGTCATATAAATTATGATTTATTATTATTATTTTCAAATTATAAAGATCCCAGCAAATAATATTATAAAGAAAGAGGTATCTTTTAAATTTGATTAAGGGGTTGCTCCTCTGAATTATCTTCTTGACATTTGAGCACATGCAAGTTACAATGATATATACTCAAATCTTTTAGGTGTAATGAGTCAGAAGAGGAAACTCTTTTACTGCTCTTTAATTCTGCAGATAGTTCATTCAACTCTAAATAAACTAATATGCTATATACAACTTCAATCTCTGATGACCACAAAGTAAATGTCTTGAGTTATAATACAATTTCCAAGCTTTCTTGTTATACAATGTTTCCACTTGGCACTAACCTATCAAGCTTATAGTGAGAGAAAAGCAAATTAAACCTTTCCTATAGATTACACAAAAAGTTACATGATCAAATCAAACTACATGGTATCATTGTATTAAATATGGTAGTGAAGACTTTCGTGCATCAGTAGGCAAAATAAAGTTTCATAGTGCTGCACTTTAAGATAAAACTTTGAGATAAGTATTTACTTTCCCTATAAGTGATTACAACTTAGCTTAAATCTAGATAACTAATCAGAGGTTGTTTGTCGTAATTCCCGTAGACTATGACAGATACAGAGCCAGATCTAGTTTGAGACTATTTGCTTCATAATCTTGGACATAAATAAAGAACTTGCAAGCTCGGCACTTCTCAAACAGACCCATCAAAGGTGACTTCAGTGCTTCAACATCTGTTACTGGGACTTTGTAAATTTGAAAATTAATAGACAAAGATATGATGCAATAATTTTTCATGTAACGTAAACTCCCATAAACTGCAATAGATAACAAACCCCTGGTTCAATTACTAATAAGAAAGCAATCTTTGCCATGATCATCAAATGTGTTATTGCTGCCAAAAACTTCCTGAAGAGCAATGTCGTAAAATCATCATGTCTTTAAAGTATCGCCCTTTGTGTAACAAATTAACGCAACAATGCCAAAGTAGTGATGGAAAATACAACAACAATTAACAGTAACAACTCTAATAAAGCAATACTCAGCGGATATAATGTCCCTAACTTGTTGAATCTGTGAGGAGCAACAATAAATAATGCAGCAACTATTAATCAATAACACAAAGAGACACCAAGATTTTTAACGTGGAAAAAACCTTCTCAAAGTGAGAAGTAAAACAACCACGGACACAAGCCAGTAAACAAGCTCCACTATGATCAATGTATGGGTACAAGAGAGTCTCAAATGTAGCACAAATCGTGCTCAACAATCAGCCAAAACAACAAGGCAACAAAACATGAAATAGAGAACAAAGAAGAACCAGAAAACTCCAAAGGGCTGCTACTGTGCGTGGCCAATATCTCCCACCTCAGACCTCTGATCGCTGACCACACCGTTCATATTGAAGAACCGGATGTCAGAAACCTGCAGTTCAAATTTCGGCCAAATCGGACGGTGAACGAAGGAGATATCGCGATTCTAGTGCAGCTGCTATGTGTAGGTGCGAAAATCTGTTTCTCTTCTCTTCTCTCACTTTTCTCTTGCCTCTCTTGCCTAAATCAGACAGCTCACTCTTACCCTAATTGACCCCTCTCCACTTAGATAAGTGAGACACTTGGGCTTGCACATATTGGTCCTTTCTCCACATAGGATGGGAGCCCAAAACCCAACATATCTCCCCCTCACAACTATGTGGAGGTGACCGCCAAACCGGCGATCTCACAACAAGTTTCAAACTTGCTTCTCGGTAATGCCTTGGTCATCATATCAGCACCATTATCATCTGTATGAACCTTGGCCAATTCCAATAATCCAGCATCCAAAGCATCACGTATCCAATGATACCTAACATTAATGTGCTTGGACCTAGAATGTAAAGTTGAATTCTTACCAAGATGAATTGCACCTTGACTATCACAAAATAACAAGTATTTGTCCTGCACAAAACCAAGCTCCTACAAGAATTTCTTCAACCAAATCAACTGCTTGCATGCTTCTGTAGTGGCAATAAACTCTGCCTCAGTAGTGAACAATGCAACACATCTCTGCAATTTGGATTGCCATGCCACAGCTCCCCCTGCAAACTTAATCAAGTAGCATGAAGTAGACTTTCTGGAATCAATGTCTCCAGTCATATCAGAATCAGTATAGCCCACAAGAGTAGGTATATCACCTCTAAAACAAAGCCTCAAACTGGTAGTACCATGAAGATACCTCAAAATCCATTTCACAGCATTCCAATGCTCTCTACCTGGATTAGACAGAAATCTACTGACTGTACCAACAGCATGTGCAATATCAGGTCTTGTACACACCATTGCATACATCAAACTCCCCACAGCAGATGCATAAGAAACCCGTTGCATATCTAATTTTTCAGCTTCATTGGAAGGACTCTTATTAACACTCAATTTGAAATGAGCAGCAAGAGGAGTACTTACAGCCTTAGCATTTTCCATCTGGAACCTCTGAAGCACCCTTTTAACATAGTGTTCTTGTGACAGCCAAAGTTTCTTCTTGTTCCTGTCACGCATGATTCTTATACCAAGAATCTGATTAGCATCTCCCATGTCTTTCATGGCAAATGACTCTCCCAATTGCTTCTTCAACCTGTCAATCATGGAAATATTTTTCCCAACAATAAGCATGTCATCAACATAAAATAACAGGATAATGAAATTATCATCAACAAACTTTTTAACAAAGACACAGTGATCAGAAATAGTCTTCTTGTAGCCTTGCTCACACATAATAGACTCAAACTTCTTGTACCACTGACGTGGGGCTTGCTTCAAGCCATATAGGCTCTTTCTCAATCTACACACATAGTCTTCCTTGCCTTTAACAAGAAAACCATCAGGTTGCTTCATGTAAATCTCTTCCTCCAAATCACCACGAAGAAAAGCAGTTTTTACATCCATTTGCTCTACCACTAGATCAAGAGTAGCGGCCAAACCTAACACGGTTCTTATGGATGACATCTTCATCACAGGAGAAAAAATCTCATTGAAATCAACACCCTTTCTTTGTCTGAAACCTTTCACCACCAATCTGGCTTTATATCTTGGAGATGTAGAATTGCTTTCTTGCTTTACCTTGTAAATCCACCTATTTTCCAAAGCCTTCTTGCCCTTAGGCAATTTCACCAAATCAAAAATGTGATTATCATGCAAAGACTTCATTTCATCTTGCATAGCATCCAGCCACTTCTTCTTTTCATCACTCTCCATGGCCTCATTAAAACACTCATGTTCTCCTTCATCTGTCAAGGTAACATAGTCATCAGAAGGATACCTGGTAGATGATTTCCTCTGCCTATTAGACCTCCAAAGTTGAACTTGAGGTGGTTCAGGAGCATCACCAAGATCTTCATCTTGTGACATCTCATGTTCCTCTTCAGCATCATCAACAGGAATATCTACATCATCTCCAAGCTGCTGGTCACCAACATCATCATGTTGCTCATCATTCTGAACATTATTTTCAGCAGTATCCAGATCATGTACAGGCCTTCGAACTGGATCAACATCAGACAAACTATTATCAATCTCTGGTGTAGTCTTCTCTATCTTATCAATGTCTTCAATGGTTTGGTCTTCCATGAACTTCACATCACGGCTTCTAACTGCTTTCTTCCCAACTGGATCATATAGCTTGTAGCCAAATTCATCCTGACCATACCCGATAAAAATGCACTGCCTTGTCTTCGCATCCAACTTGGATCTCTCATCCTTTGGAACATGAACATATGCTTTGCAACCGAAGACACACAAATGATCATATTTTACATTCTTGCCAAACCAAATTTTGTCTGGCACCTCTGCATTCAAAGCAACCGCATGACTCAGATTAATAACATGCACTTCCGTGTACAATGCTTCACCCCAGAAATGTTTAGGCAACTTTGCTTCAGAAAGCATACACCTAACTCTTTCAATCAAAGTCCTATTCATCCTCTCCGCTAAACCATTCAGTTGAGGAGTTTTAGGAGGAGTCTTTTCATGTCTGATACCGTGCTGCTTGCAATAAACATCAAATGGTCCACAATATTCACCACCATTGTCAGTACGAATGCATTTCAGCTTCTTGCCTGACTGTCTCTCCACCATAACATGAAACTCTTTGAATTTCTCCAGAACTTAGTCTTTTGTCTTCAAAGCATAGACCCAAAGTTTCCTGGAAAAATCATCAATAAAGGTAACAAAATAAAGTGCACCACTAAATGAATTTACCTTCAACGGGCCACAAACATCAGAATGCACCAATTCAAGCAACTCTGACTTCCTTGAGGGAGGATGCTTCTTGAAGGATACTCTAGTCTGCTTACCAGCCATGCAATGAGAAAATTTCTCCAACTCTGAACTCTTCAATCCCGGAAGCACATCCTTTTTAGCTAAACAATTCAGCCCCTTTTCACTGATATGACTAAGCCTGCGGTGCCACAAAGAAGCCTCCATATCCATGACATTCACACTGTCTTTAGCAATCAATGCTTTAGTCCAATACAGTTTATTATCTTTCTCCCCTCTAGCCACAACCAAGTTACCTCTGGTGAGTTTCCATTTTCCAGAACCAAAGTGATTATCATAACCACCTTCATCAAGCATATGCACAGAAATAAAATTGAAGCGAACATCTGGAGCATGTTTGACTCCTCTCAGCAACAACTGCACTCCCATGTTGGTCTGCAAACAAATATCACCAATACCAACTACCTTGGACACACCATCATTACCCATCTTCAACACTCCAAAGTCACCAGTAGTGTAAGATGTGAAGAACTCCTTCCTTGGTGTAACATGCAGTGTAGCAGCACTATCAACAGCCCACATGCTCTCA